GTATCTTCCAAACAATGGCAAATAGTGTAAAATATGGAAAAATGGGGTCTTTTGACGAGTTCAACATCACATTTCCAGCAGTTTTTCATTTAAGACTACTTATGCTTCCAAGAAAATTGAAAAAAAAAACTCATTTCTAATTTTTTAGATTGCCCCGGCTTTCAAAAAAAAGCTGTGGAAAATTTTTCAAAGTTTTTTTTCTGTTGTCTCTGTAAAAACTAACTCCCTTTATTCACAGTAGTAAAATATTATGATGAGAGCTTCTTATCGCTGAGGATTAGGGCTAATAATTAGTTGCACAAAAAATTACTTGCGCCCAGTCCTGATGACACCCATGATAGTCCTATAAATTCTTTTTTTTATTTACAAACTGAAACAGAAGCTACCGTATTCTTCAAAGTACACTATATCATTGAATAAAACGCCTTCCTTTATCAATCAGTGTGAAAGATACCAAATTTCAAGGAATATATCAATTCAATTTTATAAACAGTTAAAAAATCAAACTGGAAGAAAAAATGAGGAGTGAAAACTAAGGCCGTTGAGAACTCCCAACATGTAGCTTACTAATCCTAAAATCTCTTAATATGCCAGAGGCATTTCAGCAATTCACTTTCAATTCATTCAAAACAAAAAAGTCCATGAAAGCGGATATCAAGCCATTTGCAAACAAAAACGATCAGAACTTCTTGACGTCTTTAGAGCGGGATCACAAATGCGATTAGTAAATCACGTTTAAAATGAGACCTTTTCAATACACCAAAAGTGACCTTTGAAAGCTTGAGTCAAGGTGTTGGCTGTTAGAAAATTGATATGGAAATAATTCAAATTTTTTGTCATAAGTTCAAGGTGACTCAAGAGACAAAAAAAAAACAAACTAAATAGAAATAAAGTATCATTATTTGCTATTTCTGTCCAGCTTAATCTCTTTTTTTTTTGCAAAAGTTTACCAAGCCCCACAAGTCCTAACTGAAAAAGGGCCTGAATTCAGCACATATAAACTTTGCATGAACCTCTCTACAACAATAATGTTAAACAAAGAGAAGTTCTAGTAAATTATATGTCTAGTCCTCCTTGTCAAGCTTTCTCTATTTGACAAATTTGTCTCAAGCAACCCGTCAGGAAAAGGATGTTGAAGACGGTTCTGCTTTCAGCCCAATAACTGCGTTAAAAGGATATACTGCGAGTGAAAAACGTTTCTAAATTGTGAATTGCATTTTTTAATTGGATTGATTTCTCCATATTAGATTCTGACAGAAGTTTATATAACTTCTGCCTTTAAGTAACACCAAGTTTAAAGTATCTAAAGAATATTTGCAGAGTCGCTTTTGCAAGTTACAAAAAATTGATCTCCAGTAGGGTAATGAGGTATAGAGAAGCAAATGATGCGATGAGATGATGATGAGATGATGGTCAGACAGAAAGCGTTAGTGAAAGCCGTGCGGCGACGTCGGAACCCGAGCGAACGAAGGAACGAACGGTCGTGCAGCCCGATAGCCGATCCCCCCCGTCCGCATCGCGGGATCGACTGGCTAGAAGAAAAACGAAGGCTGGAACGAGCTTTGACCATACCGGGAACGAGCTCGATTCGCAACGCTCTCATCCATGCCAACGAACTACGGATCTTTGTTTTTGCCTGAGCATCTCAAAAATCAAGTTCGCCCCGAGATTTGTAGGAAAAACGAACACAATGAAGATGGAAAGCAATGATAGTTGCGGCTTCGGAATCGAACCAGACAGATGACTTCCGAAAGTTCGACGTCAGTTAGCACTGATGTTTCATGCAGGTTCTAGCAGTTTCAAGTCCGAAATAAACCGGAGCGAAAGGGCTTATTAACATTGCTATTTTTTCAAGGAAAACAGAGAAGAGGAGATTATTATAGGAAGTTAAGCATTACATTGAATAGTCACGTAAAGACATCACAACACATTAGAAATTTCAAAAAAAATTATTTTCAAGAAAATATAGCTAGCATAATTCGTGCAAATATATGTTCTTAGAATGATTGATTAAAGGAAATGAGAAGTTTTTTAAGCGCATGTTAACACTTCCAGAATAATGAAAACCTAATATTCAACATTGTTTTCCACAGTCAATTCATAGTTTTGAGTTTGAGCTGCAATTTTTCGATGAAGTTGGAGCAGAGAACCAAG